CTAGAAATGTTGGTTAATTTTCCATATCTCGAGTCTGTGTTTCGATGTCGGGACAGCACCCACTGAATACCGTTTCAACTTGAGTACGCCATTGAGTAGGACACGCACCAGGGGTTTTCAGTCAATTGAAAAAAAAATGTATTCCCGACTAAGACGCGCAACCCATTTCCGTTACTCTAAAACTGCAACAGTATTTATAAAATTAGAACACCCAAATTTATTTTTGGTCACGAATTAATCCCGAATTCGAGGAATTTTCAATTGTTTTCAATACCATACGTTTTTCTGTCAAAAATGGTCGAAAATTGCCCATTAGAATCGAATGCAGGTGGAATCTTTCTACAACGAAATTCAAACGACCAGAAAAAAAAATCGTGGTAGAAAACCCCTGTAACATACGGAAAAAACCCTATAGATAAAATCGCTGTAGAGAGTCCACCTGTATGAAGAACATTTGAACATCTAAAACTTGGAAAAAAAATGTATACCCGCCTACGAAGTGCAAACTCCCGTTTCCTTTCAATTTTGAGAAAAACGGTGCGCGTGGTACTCGAGTAAAAAATCGGTCATAATGTACGTTACAGTACAGTACCGTACCTGAATTCGTGCCCGGTTTCCAGCAAAAGCTTGACGCAGTCCACACATCCCCTGGATGCAGCGTAGTGCAAGGCAAGTGCTTCATTCCTCACTCGCTCCTCTTCCACTGAGTCTGCCAGTTCGTTGCGTTCATTACCCGACTCCTTGGACTCCGTCAGAAGCCAGCGAAGAACATTAGCGTGACTGCGGAGACAGGGAAGGCAAAAAAATCGAAAATGATTCCCAACGATTAATCTCTCACATCTGGATTCGAGAAAAAAAGAGCCTGATTTAGAGATCCAACGGCAATAAAAATTGAGGCCGGGCGCTTAGCGATTGGATTTAATTAGTGTCAAGGAGAACTCAGTGTTCTTTTCTTATTTTTTTTGCGGAGGTACCCCACGGAAATTCTCGCAGTGCTCGAATATCCCGGGCAGACTTCTTTCTTCAAGTACTTCAATGAACCCAGTTTCAAAAGCCCAGATGTCCACACCTGACTTGATAACGCGGCGATAAAATTACACCGAAGCAAGCGAGGGACTTTTTCCCGTCGTTTTCGCCATCAAATTGCCTCAGATCTGCAATTAAACCCAGTCCCAGATCCAGTCATTGCTTCACAAGTCACAAACGATATTCGGTCATCAAACCTTCCATTCAAGGTCTCCTCGAATGAATCATTAGCAACCAGCGCTAAGTTTGAAACCTTAAATAATGCATCGATTCGTGGGACTTGAAATATCATCAGAGTGACCAGTTTTGCCATGATAAATACCACAAACAGGCAATGCGATTTTTCAACCACAGAAACCAAAACATTTCTTTCAAAAATTCGGAAAAATTCAAAACTTTTGCCAGACCTGCATCCATTACCATTCAGGACGTTTCGAAGATTGAAATATTGCTCTTTAAATCGAGGA